TATCTGTCCCCCCCCCCCTCCCAGTGGCTAGAAACTGGGTGTGGTAAGGACTCTCTTTCACCACTAGTAAAATCTGGGGGGGGAAATTTGTGTGTTGGGGAGCCCTGAGGAACAGGGAACAGTACTCTGGAAACAGTACACTAGGTGCACCAAGTACCATAAATTTTGAACAGCAAACCAATCTCAATTTATTCATATTGATGGTCAGCAGGGACGGGCAGGATCTCCTTTAGCTTTACTCATGATAGTCCATGAGAATATGAAAATATCACCCAGAATGCGCCGAGATAGTCTTATGGAACACCTCATTTCAACAGAGCCTGTCACAACCAGTAGTAAGGATAGTGAAGTGGGTTGCTGGTACAGAATTAGAATGATAAAAGCACACCTGTCTGGGCAACACTAGCCACAGAGTGGGATCCAGATAAAAAGTAAATGGACCCTGGAAAGAAAAGAGAACATATGATGGAGAAAATTACTCACCCCTTGTTAAAATCTAGCAGATGTAGTCAAAACAGCCATAGGGGAAAGTCGAAAACCTTCAGAAGAAGAAACTGCCAGATGATGCAAGTAATGAGAGATGAAAGTATTGGGAGAAGTTCACATACTAGCCTGCACAATGTCTTCCAGAGGGCAATTCAAACAGGCAGCCAATGACATAGAAAGGTGATGAATCTGGTGAGATGCAACTCAGATTCCTCTCCTGTAAAGATAGACCAGAGTAGACAATATGAATCAATTTTCGAAGCCACCTTGTTAAGGTTATGGTGGATAAATCCTGGAAACCTAAAGATCACATGGAATAAATAGTATATTCCTAGTACCCCAAAATGAGTTAGTATGAGGCACATAATACCTGAGGGTACTGACAAGACATAACAAACGATTGGGGTCGTAAAGGTGAGAAATGGCTGGCAAATGAATGGGCAAGAAGGATTTTTCCCCTCTCCGGCTGCCAAAGTCTTTGGAAGGAAGGACCTATCAGGGTAAAGCAAAACATAGGTTGAATGATAAAAGAGCCCCATGTACATGTATTGCAAATAATTCAAATCGACAACATCCACATGCCAACAACAACAAAAATATACCTTAATCGAAAGGTGATACAAGGAACAGAAAGCTAAAGGCTCGAAGAGATGATGAGACAACGCATGTAAAACAACCTTAACATCCACATTAGGCAATTGAAAAGGCCTTTTGGGCCAAATGACACAAAAGGATTTTAATAGCTTAGATATCACTGGAGAGTCAAAATCTTCCTATATTTGGAATATCAAAAGGTTATTGATATGAATGCTTTATATAAGGCCACAGTAGACAAATCCAAGTCAAAAAACTTAAAATGGTAGACACCTTTGAATGAAGTGGGTTGAATTTCCAATTTATACACCACTGACAATAAGTGTGCCATTTTTGTTAATTAATGGCCATAGTTGGTCTACAGAGATTTAGTTAAGTAAAGCGTAACTTTAGACACTAAACCCCTATGTATGGCAAAGGCTCGCATAACTTTCAGGCATGAAGTTTAAGTTTCTGAACATCTGGGTGTAGAACATTAGATCGAGGTTGTCTCAACAGAGATAGTCATAGAGGAAGTGGTAGAGGCAGATGCACTGGCAGATATTGAAGAATAGGAAACCATGTTTGAGCTGGCCAAAATAGTGCTACCAAAAGAACCCAACAAGGAGTGGAATGAACCATAGCTAAAACTCTGGGCAATAGTCGAATCAGGGGAAGGCATATGCATCCAGTCCTGACTGAATGCATATATTGCTAAAGCTCAAGGATGAGATACTGGGGACCAAAACAACTGCAGTTGAGAATTCAAATGAGTTGCAAAGGTGTCTATCATTGGAGACCCAAACTGAGAGCAAATCCACTGAAAAACCTTGTGATATAGCATCCATTCAGGCAGAAGAATCCAGTTGGGCTGAGACACAAGATCTGCAATTAAGTTCATCACTCTGGGAACATGGCATTCTAAGAGCCTTATAATATGGGAGTGAGCCAAGTAGAGAAGATCCAAAGTTTGAAAATAAAGATCTCAAGAATGTTTGCCAACTTGACGAGAAATATAGGATACCACCATGGAATTGTCAAAATGGATCATGACTACTCTCCCCCTCAAGAGAGACAGACCTTAAACCATTGCTCTGTGTACAGCAAGTAGTTCAAGAATGTGGATATGAAGAGAAGACTCATAAGCTGTCCAAATACCCTGGAACTTTTGACTGTGGATATAAGCCCCCCCATCCTTGAAGAGATGCATCTGTGAACGGATGGATCTTGGGACGAGGAAGTGTGGAATTGGTACCCCAATAGTAGTGTTGTTTGGATCCAACTACCACTCAGGATCTGCAATGTTGCTCCTGAGTAGGGAGACTGGATGATTCAATGGACCAGAATTCATAATCCATTCATTGATCATATAAGAGATTCAAGGGATGTCCACATCCCCAAAAGATAGAGAACTAGCCCCACACTAGTTTGAGCTGGCCAAAATAGTGCTACCAAAAGAACCCAACAAGGAGTGGAATGAACCATAGCTAAAACTCTGGGCAATAGTCGAATCAGGGGAAGGCATATGCTTGTTATAGTTTTCATGCTATAACTTTTAAATTAGTAAGTGAATGTTAACGAAAT